TTTTTTACATTCAAAAACATCAACATGAATAAGTAATAGGCTATTTTGTACCTTAGTTTTGAGCCTAGTTGTAAAAGGATGCTAAATTAGGAACTGGTTTGAACTAAATCAGGACTTTTTTCTGATGGGTTATTAATGTGAATAAATGTTTTGTCGTCATGGCTGTCGTACTGAATACATTTTAAGAACAGAATCAAACAAGTAACCTTCTTTTTTTAAATATTATACAGTCCCTCCAGAAAAACGCGATTGTGCGATCGCTGAATTCAATGCAAAATCAGCCAAAGTCCGCATATTTATGCGGGGGCCGCATTTTTTTCAAATACGCCGCACTTTCGCCGCATAAATTGCCGATTTCTGTGCAAAATATGCGGGGTTTGCATAATTTCATAATTCTCGCATTTTCGTTGCAAAAAAAGTCACATGTATCTTAGCAGAAAGTTGAAAAATGTTGCGTTTGCTTCACACAAGAGCAGCCATTTCCCCCTGTTTCCATGGGAACGTCATGAAGTGACGCAATTACGCGACGCCAGACAGACTCACGGAGGCGATTGACATCTCACAAATCGAACTCGTATAACTCTCTGTCACACGTTCTACCGTCACATCGTTACTTAATAAACAACATAAGATAAAAGAAGTAGCATCAAACAGAAATTACCCGCACACATGGGGTGTTTGTGGCGCACATACAACACTGCAGAGAGTTCAACAGGGAGCGCGCAGCTCTTAAAGGGGCCACACCTTATTTACACTCGTTACAGTCTGAAATAAAACAAGATGAGAAATTAAATATTCCCAGCACTTTCTATGATGTAGTATGCTTGCTTATCAAAGGAAGTAATAAGAAATGACTCTTACATTAGCCTAGTGCGAACAGGGTGTTGGGGGAATCACTTTTTTTTCTCTTTTTCATCAAACTGCAATTTTTGCAAGCTCCCTCAATTTTTGCAAATTCCTGCAATTTCATCGCATAAAATTGCATAAATTTACGGTATGATGCTGGCAACCACAGCTGCCAGTAGTTTACCGTGTAATCCATCAATTTTTGCCCGCAACAATCACAAAAAAACTCCGCTTTTTTCTGGAAGGACTGAATACTATTATGGTAAATGTTATATATAAATCGCAAATTTTTTCACAAATTTTTGGAAATTACCACCACAAAATCAGTCATTTTGATCGCAAAAATCACAAAAAAAAATCGTGAAATCCTGGAGGGACTGATTATAATGCATAATCCAATCAGTTTTTCTTTTCATTCCTTTTAGGTGGCACAAACCACAGATGGGATTGATGCAGACTTATGGAAAGATGGCCTGTTCAAATCCAAGGTGACCCGCTATCTGTGCTTCACCAGAGCATTCTCCAAAGAGAACGTGAGTCTTCAGTTCTTTATTAGATCATTTCCTTTAATTATGGTAACATTTTACAAATATTTCTATTTTGCAATCAACTTTTCTTCCCTATTGTGAAGTATATCTGAGTGTAACGGCTTCTCAAGCAAGAGAAACTGTTGGGTGGTGGGACTTTATTTGATTGGATAATTGGATTGTTGTGGTTCGTTATTGGTCGAACTTATGAGAGTGATGGGTTGTCCCGCCCTCGTGCCAGTAAACACGTCATTAGAGAAGAGAAATATGTCATGTCTAACAACACTTTATTTACAATATAGCACAACCAATTTGCTTAAACATACTTTGGTACTGAGACACTTTAGTTTAAAGGCTATTGAACTTTTTAAATATCCAGAGCATGTTCATGATGGAGTGTTTATGTAATGTTAAATCTTGTTAGAGTTGAAATGATCTCTGCAATATGTCACGGAATCTCTTTTTTGTTTTTTTGTTAGACTATTTTTGTTCATCGTGAAAACAAAGCTGCTTTTTCTTCCTTCTGTCCCTGCGGGGTTTAGTCTAATTCTTCTAAGTCTTCTCAGACAAACCAAAGCGGAAAACGCTTTAAAATGTTTGTGATTTACTTTTTTTTTCCTGATTTTAAATTACTTCTGTTTATTTTTTTTTACTATTACTATTATTTGTAGGGCTGTCAAACGATTAATCGCGATTAATCGCATCCTAAATAAAAGTTTGTGTTTACATAATATATGGTGAACTGTGTATAATTATTTTGTGTATATATATATATATATATATATATATACACACACATGCATGTATATTTAAGAAAAAAATATTATTTATATATAAAATAATTAGATTTATATATAATATATATTATATATAAATCTATATACAGTATATACATGAAAATATATACAAGCATGTGTGTGTATTTATATATATATAAAATAATTATACACTGTGAACCCACACATATTATGTAAACACAAACTTTTATTTTGGATGCAATTAATCACGATATCCCTAATTATTTGTTTGTTTGTTGACTTTATTGTCTGTCAAGATTTACTGGACAGAAATTCATCTTTGACACTGGTTTCAAGACATAAAACAAATGATTGAGCACTCATATATGAATAAAACAAATTAATACAACATATACATGATATTATTATGATGATGATGCTTATGTGTTAGAAATAAGCTTGCAACCAAGCACATGGCTAGAGATGTGGTCTATTGACTTTCTCTTGTATGTTCTTCCTGTATCTCTCCTCAGAGTCATTTAGGAAATGTGCTCGTAGACATGAAGCTCATCGACATCAAGGACACGCTGCCTGTGGGATTCATTCCCATTCAGGAGACCGTGGACACACGTAAGATGTTCCTCTTGTTCATTTACAACTGCTATTTCAGCCAGAGCACAACTGATGCATCTTTAAACCATATTTTCTAATTGATATGCATATGCATAGCATCCTAGGGTGGATTTGATGTTGAAATATGAGTATTCTGAAGTCTTTTTCACAATGCAAAAATGCGGAATTGCGCTTGCGTAACATACTTGCGTTTGCATATTTCAGGCTTAAAGGGATAGGGACCCCAAAATGACAATTCTGTCAGTAATTATTCTCCCTCATGTCGTTCAACCCCGTAAGACTTTCGTTCATCTTCTGAACACAAATTAAAGGGATAGTTGACTTTGAAATTATTTCTTGGGATGTTTTATCTTACCTCAAGGGCATCCAAGATGTAGGTGTCTTTGTTTCCGCAGTAGTTTCAATTTTGATATGTTTAGGTCAAACCGTTCATATAATGCAGGTCTATGGGGTCCACCCATGGGTGAACTATCCCTTTAAATCCTAATGTAATAATTTCATACACTCCCTGCATGTTTGCACAGACACTCAAGATATGAAACCATTATTGTAGCTTAAATAAACCAGTGACACTCCAGACTAGAGTTAAAGAGAGGTTTGTTTGTAGTTGCTTTTAGACATGCGGTAGAAGAGCTGAACCTCCATTGTGGATTTAGTATCTCGTGTTAAATAATTAATCGAGTGTGTGATGATCCTCTGACCTCTTTCTGTTGTAATCTCCAGTTCCCTTTCACTTTCTTTAACATGTCCTGTTCCTCTCTCGCTCTCTCTCCAGAGGAGCCGGCGTTCAGGAAGAGGAGGTTATGTATTAAGTTCATCCCGAGAGACTCCACCGAAGCTGCCATCTGTGATATCCGTATCTTAGGACGCTCTAAACAGGCGCCGCCACAGTATACGTTCATAGGGTCAGTTACTCTACACAAGAACTCGTGACCTAGACTGACTTCCTGATATATTTAAAAGACAGTTCGGAAGTATTCAGTGAGAAAATGAATTATAGTCTGCTGGTGGGAAATGTGAAATTGAACAGCATAAGTGTGACCTAACAGCTTTATCTTATTATTATTTAGTGAGTTATGATTTCAGAAAACCTCATGGCATTTTTTTAAAGAATTTAAATGTTTTATTGTAATTTTTATATTTAGTTTAGATAAATATTTCTGTTTCTGTTTCATGTACTTTATTTAATAATAATGATAATATATTAGTCTCTCTGCTCTCTTGGATACCACAGGATACAACTGCAGTGATGTCACATAACCAAAAATGCATCATAATAACTGTATTTTTACATGATTAAATATTTTTCTTCCACCACGAATGAACTCAACATACAGTATATATTTTAATTTTTAATAATACAATTGTATATAATATATATATATATTAATATTATACAATTCTGTATTCATTATATGAATATTGTGATATACTAATACTATCTTTTTTAAAACTTTTTTTTTTTACTTCTGATAAAAAGTAAAAAAATCTATTATCTAATTAACTTTTTATGGTTAACTTTATGGTTAATTTTATGGTGGAAAAATAATTGTTTTAAAAAACATGCACGTGTGTCGTTATCATTCCACTCTCTGAAAAATATATATAATTATTAGAGCATTATTCAACATCTTTAATAATGTCTTAAGGCCAAAACCTATTAAGACACCATTGTTTGTAAGTATTTTTCTTACAATATCTGGAGATCTCTGGCTGTACTTTGAGATCTCCTTTGTTGATATATGTGACCCTGGATCATAAAAACAGTCATAAGTCGCACGGGTGTATTTGTGGCAATAGCCAACGATACATAGTATGGGTCAAAATTATAGATTTTTCTTTTATGCCAAAAATCATTAGGATATTAACGAAGATCATGGTCCATGAAGATATTTTGTAAATTTCCTACCGTAAATATATAAAATATTAATTTTTGTGAGTGAATGCAGCACAATCGCAAACAGAAATGGACAAATACTGTCCTAACAAACCATACACCGCTCTCAGTTGATGTATAAATCTCAATTTTATTTTGGACAAATTAGTGGTCCAGGGTCACATATTCTTATTAAATACATCTGTGTTTTGTGTTTCTGAGTGTTTAATTTATCCTGAGTAAATGATTTCCGGTTTGGTGAATTGTGTATTTCCTCTTAGAGAGCTGAACAATATGGGGATCTGGTACCGGATGGGAAAGGTGCCACGGACCCAGGACTCTTCACCTGTACAGAACAACTCCTCCACCACCAACACCACCAATAACATCCAGACTGTCACCAACAACTCCACTCCAGCGCCAGTCATGCCCAAGTACGTGTTGGTGAAGTGTGACATAGCGACAGCTGCAGAATAGGAAGAGAGAGAATGAGACAAACTGAGAGGAGGAAGAGAAACATGGCATGGAAAAACACTTTAATTAGCATTCTTTATATACTGGCATAAACGAGCTTGTGTTTTTTTTTTAGGAAATTCCACAGTAAGTTATAGTATATCCCATAGTTCCACACTATCTTAAAGGAGTAGTTCAGTTATAAAAAAAACTTTTGCTGATAATTTACTCACCCCCATGTCATCCAAGATGTCCACGTCTTTCTTTCTTCAGTTGAAAAGAAATAAAGGTTTTTGATGAAAACATTCAGGGTTTTTGTCCTTATAATGGACTTCAATGGGGTCCAAACGGTTCAAGGTCAAAATGAGAGTTTCAGTGCAGCTTCAAAGAGCTTTAAACGATTCCAGACAATGAATAAGGGTCTTATAAAGCGAAACGATCGCTCATTTAATAAATAAATAACAAAGTTTAAGTTTTATAAGCTCAAATGCTCGCCTTGCTCTGTTCTGTGATGCGCGTTCGTGACTCTCCTGTTCAAACACGTTCATCAAAATGAACAAATCTTTTTCCGAGTCAATTCATTCATTTTGTTCATTGAATTTACCAAATGACTCGAAAAAAGATTTGTTTGATAAACGAGTCACGAACGCGCATCACAGAACAGAGCAAGGTGACCAATTGAGCTTATAAACTTAAACTTTGTTATTATTTTTTTTAAAATGAGCAATCTTTTCGCTTGATAAGACCCTTATTCATCGTCTGGAATCGTTTAAAGCCCTTTGAACAGTTTGTAGTTTGCACTGAAACTGTCTTTTGGACGTTGAACCGTTTGGACCCCATTGAAGTCCATTAGATGGAGAAAAATCTATCAAAAACCTTAATTTCTTTTCGACTGAAGAAAGAAAGACGTGGACATCTTGGATGACATTTGGGTGAGTAAATTATCAGCAAAAGTTTTTTTTCAAAAGCGAACTACTCCTTTAAGGATCTTTGATGAATAGAAAGTTCAAAGATCAGCATTTGTTTGAAATAGAAATGTCTTTACTGTCACTTTTGATCAAGCAGTAATAATCAAATTAAGAACAAACATGCTGTTTTCCATGATATAACTGGACTAATGAAATGTTTGCTATTCTTGTGTATGTTTACGGGCTTGTTTGTGTCTCAGGGTTTTGTTACGCCCCGGAGCTTTTTCTGACCCTAATGGGAAGTGTCTGTTCCAGCTGTTTCCCTCTCATGGTTTCCTCTCTGTCTGTCTGCTCTCTTGATACAGTCCTATTATATATAACAGGATACAACTGCAGTGAAGTCACATAACCAAAAATGCATCACAATAAGGGAGTGACCGTCTCTGACTGGTCCCTGAACGCATGTCTGGGAACCCATGTCATTATTCACATATCGCAATCTTAGAGGTTGAAATGGTCATGAAAAACTCAAACCCTTGACTAAGATAAGTGAACACTTAAATAACAACACTCTCGTTCCTGTATTGGACGTTATAAGGGAAAGATTATAATAATGCTATAAATTCAGTCACTTTAACCCCTTTAACATTTTTAAAAGAGTATTATCCTATACTAAACCTAAACTAATCTTGACAAACTATATATCATTTGAAAGCTTAGAATCTCTAGTTGTCATATATGGCAATTGATTTTCAAAATATATTACAGAGGAGCCATTTATCAATTTGCAACAAGAGTATTTTCATACTCTAAGGCGTGTTCAGACCTTTATTTTGGAATTGTGATGAGCATGAAAAATCATGACAGAAGGGTAGAAACCTGTTTGTTTTCATGCCAAAAGTTCAAAAGAAAGCCTCCATTCAATTATTTTATAATTATAATAATTATTATTTCATATTGAAATGGAGGCGCCCTTATATGGGCAGTAATGGAGTCTGGTTGTGCCCTAGTGAAAAAGTTTGGTACTGCGCCCAAACAAAATCTCACTGAAAGCTCATTTTTTGAGATATCAACCTAAAATTTGAAACACAACTTATTCAGATTTTTGGCTTGGATTTTTTTTTTTTAGCAGTTTTAGACTCGCCAGGTTTTGAAAATATATATTTTATATAAAATATGAATAATTAAATTTTTTAATTCACTTCTACAAAAATCTGCCAAATGTCTTCTTTAAAACGAGACCATTTTTACGTCTATATTCCAAAGCATTCTTGAATTACAACCATTTAAGTTCGAAATGTGCATTTTCATCTATATTCAAAAAAGGGGGGGGGTGACACTTAAGGGGTTAATTCAAGTCAGTTATCTTTACCACATTACAGTGATTTAACACAACTAAATTCTGTATATCCACCTTTTCCCTATGCCCATCGAGATTTTGCACGAATAATGTGAGTAACTTTCTTTAAACTGTAAACAGTCAGTGAAAGGTTCACTTTACGAATAGGGGTGTAACAATATATCGCAATACAAAAATGCAACAATACGTATCGTGAATAGTCCACCCAAAATAAAAATGACTGTGTGATTTTTCAGAGTAGTGTCAGTACTACATTAAACTGCTATATATAATGTAATGGGGAATATTTGTGGGTCCTGACAATGCCAAATATCTGTTACCAGTAAAAAGTGACCTACATTTATTTTAAATAGCCTATATCTAGTCAGTGACGGAGCGCAAGTATATTCATCTAAAATAATTCTAGATTTTCACCATATTATTATTCTGGTGTCACCATTGTCTTTGGGAATAGTCCAAGCCTATTCATTTACACACACAATGTAATATCAAAATTAGCATTTTAATCAACAGTACATTTTTTTTATTACCTTTTACCATATGTAGGTATGTGGACAAAAAATTAAAACTCAACAAATAGACAAATGGATAGCATATGTGGAAAAACCTGGGTACCCCCTTTACAAAAAAAAAAGGTACATATGTCAAGTATGAAGAAAGTTACAACATTTTATAGTTCAGTAATCAGCGCCTAAATAGAATTTAGTTGCACGAAAACAAGTTGGTTTTTTTTCACAAAAATGCTCATAACTTTCTCAATATTCAAGATATCTTAATGAATTTTCTGTGGAGATGGGTTTCATATAGTTATTTGGATCTATACTTGATTTTAACATGCATAAAGACTGATTTGGCCCATCTTTTATGGTATTTGGAAAACAACGATCCAAGGAAAATGATATATCCTTAATTTAAAAGATGTATTTTGGTTGATTCATGCTATTTCCAGTTGTGTAAGAATATAGAGTTAACAATACTAATGCTGGTGGAGGAAAGAAAGTGGAGGAGACCATACAAATGTTGAGTGTAGCCGACACGACGCGCTGCATTTTGACAGCTTTTTTCCAGGTAACGTTCAGTGGCGGTAGTCATAAAAAAAGTGGGGGAGTTTAAATGGCCACGAAATTTTGTACAGCACACCACAAACATATGTTCTTCATGTCCACCTTCCTCTGAAAAGTGTCCAAAGTGGGTAAAAATAATTTCTTGACAGTTAAATTCTTCCGTATTGTTTGAAATCGCCTTTCAGGAGGAAAATGCAGCCTGGCTAGAGAAAATTGAAAACAAATGTGCAGTCGAAAACCTTAATGATGTGATTGGCTAAAAATAATCAAGGATTCCCACAGCGAGTCAATGAAAACGGCGCATTTTAGGAGACCCGCTCAGAGTGATTCGGGAAAATCCGCCACAGAGATTTGAAACACAATGGCGGCCACTATTTATGGATATGTCCACATACCTACCATATGTCTTAGAATATCGCAATAATATTGTATCGTGAGTTCAGTATCATAGTATGTATCGAATCGTGACATGAGGGTATCGTTCCCTATAAGCATTCTCAAAAACTCACCCTTCACCCATTAAACATTAAAAGGACATTTTATTAGTATAAAAGCATTAAAAATGACTACAACAGACCATGAATTGATTATTTCTGCAACAATATAAAAATTAGTTTGTGTTAAATATCACTAGTAATATACAGTATGTCTGTATTATGTAACATTAGTTGCCTTAATCAAAAATGTTAAATAACTGAAACACTCAGTGATATTATTTCAAATCGATTTCCATCATTTGACAGATAATAAATATTGTGTTTTCTTGCTTTAGAAACATTGCAGTTAGGGTTGGGTATCGAGAATCGAGTATCGATGGGCTCTATGCACGGCGGTATTTCCGGTGAAGCATTAGGGATGCTCGATAACTTCCGCCGATCATAGAGTCCAATGCAATAACGAAAATTTATATTGAATTTTATACTCCATGGTTATACTAATGAAACGTTAGTCACAAAAACAGATAAAACAGACACCCCTCGTTGTGTTTATGCTTCTTTTTAAAATTATATTAAATAAACATAACTATATATAAAATTACATCTAAACGTATGTACGTTTCGTTTCAAAGACGGGAGGACAGTAAATATTGAAGACTCTGCCATAATCCCGTTTTCTCCGGTTTTCCTCCGCTTTAATCTACACAACCGGAAATAGACGAGCATCCTTGCGTCAAATGCGGAACTTATGCGTGCATGTAGCCCATTGGAACCGAGACTAACTTTTCGTTTTTCCCGGAATCGTTCAAAAGTTAAAATTTCGATTCCTAGTTTCGATATTCACAGTCCGCCGAGCGGAAGAAGAAACCGCTGAACAACACCAACGAAGAAGCGTCTACCGGAAGTGTTGGCATAACCGCGCGAGTCAAACATGAGTAGCTTACGTCGGCGATCCAAAGTGTGGCTTCACTTTTCTAAAAATAACGAAATCTCGGCAAAATGCAAACTTTGTGACAAAAGGAGTATTTCCTTCAGAAAGGCCGTTGGTTAGCAAGGTTAGCTAAACTTTTTTGACCCTGCCTCTTAAAAGAATCGGAATCGAGAATCGTTAGGAACCGGAATCGAAACAAGGAATCGGAATCAGAATCGTTCAAATTCAAACGATACCCAACCCTAATTGCAGTAAACACTGAAAACAAACCTGGAAAGAGGCGCAAGGATTCGGGGAATAAACGAGAGATTCTTAGTGCATCCCAATGATTTATTCATGGGATATATTGTAAATTGAATCACAAATGCGGAGAATATACTGTTACAACAGAATACAAAAGAAAAAGAAGGAAAGAATATAATAATGCAGCGACTGAAAAAAGCTCTTGTCATAGCAAACGCTGACGGATGAGGATTATTTGTAGTGCAACCTTATGAATTGTTTCAGTCTTTTCACCCGAATCAGAAGTGCCTCCCATGATCTAAATCACAGAAGAGGCTTGTTAGGAAAAAAGTGGGTAGATTTGTTTGTTTTGTCATGATTTGGTATTAAGTGTGGAGTTTCCCTTACAGCTGCCAGCAGAACACCTACACACTGAACACATCAAGTCATGTGTGTGTGGTTTAGTCATGTTATGAGTGTTTAATTGTGGGCGTTGAGCGTTCTCCTGTTATTTAGTGGATCTGTAATGCACAGCTTTATCTAAACGTGTGCAAGCAGCAGGGATCACGTTACCGAAGCAAATGCTTGTTTCATCCTGAAAAATACAGTTGCTAATGCTTATTGTGTGTGAACACTGATTCCTCTTTCACATCTCTATGTGCTTGAACGGACACACACACTTACATTGTCAAAATACCCATTTTGGTAAGAATTCATGTTAACACAGTCAGTTATGTCTAAGGCTGCATTTACACTGCAGGTCTTGATGCCCAAATCCGATTTTCTGACTATATCCGATTTTTTTGACGACCTGCTTGCATCATCTTTTAAAAGTGACCCATATCCGATTTTTGCATTTACACTATAGACTGCTGAAACTACCAAATGTAGACGTTCTGACTCGGGAAATTAAGTAAAACAGCACAAAATGCAATGGATACAGATGTGAATAAAATTATCCAGTGTTTTTCTTTCCACAATATTTAGAAAAGTCATCAAAACATTGGCACTGTAGCCACGAGCGCTTAAAACGATGCCTCATATCTCGTGAAATGTCTTCAAATACAGATTTATTTCTGTAACAACCCTGCATTTTCGCCTGCACTCTTCGCCCCAAACACTCAAAAGACAAGAAACCTCCGCATTGCTCCACTGTGTGTATCCTTTCTTCCATCGCGCCTGTAATGACTGGCGACTCGCATTACCGGGGAATATCCCATTTGTCTGCTTACATGGCACACGCAAATGCACGATTCATATCCGATTTATTAACGCATATGAATGCGATCTGGGAAGAAAAAAAATATCGGATTTGGGTCACTTGAACCATACAGTGTAAACGAGGCCTAAGTGAGAAAGAAATTGGATGTGTCTCATTTTATTGGATCCGTGCATTCGCTCTTAAAGTGAAAGCAGCCTATAAATATCTGATGACTCAAAATCCGTAGTTTTGTGATTTGTTGAACCACCAAACCGCTAAAATACCACTGATTCTTGCGTTCAAAAACAGCTCTATGTAGCGCAACAGATCGTTTTATTAAAAAGCTGTAGTTAGTTATTAAAACTTGTTACGTCATTGGGCGTTTTCACTAGAGCCCGACCGATAAAGGATTTTGAAGGCCGATACCGATACAAATATTTTTGGGTTTTAAAATCCGATATATCGGCCGATATTTTTTTATTATTAAACATTGTTGGATTTCACACACGTGTAAAAGAAAAGTTAACTTTTCTGCGCAAGATACGTTTGATACTTTTTCTCTATGTCACTCCTCGCAAGTATAACTTACATTTTACAATGCAGGGACTGTAACTAGAGATATGCTAGTTATAAATACAGTAATCATTACTTTATTTAGGCAGAAAAAGTTCATTGTTGTTTCCAAGCTCATTAATGTTAACGTTAGCGGTCTTCCACTGATGATAGTGGCTTTAGCTAGCTTTGTGGTTAGCTAGTCTATGATGAGCCATAATTTAGCAATAGATAACAACATTATACTGCAAATTGTAAAACATACATTTTCAATATAACAGGCCAAGGAAAGGCCGTTTTTATGTTATTTTTGAAATATTCATTTATCGGCCATTATAACTGCCGATACCGATATTTTGGAAAATGCCTAATATCGGCCGATAATAACGGTCTGGCTCATTTGTTTTGGAAACTGGTGCGTTTTCTCCCTCAGCTGGTTCGTTTAGACATATATGAACACCGGCAATCACGCTCAGATCCGCACCAAAACAATCTGAGATCGGCTGAACAAGATGGCCAGATTGAAAACGAACCATTTCGGTTGAGGTGCAATACCATAATTCATAACGGGAAATATGTTATATAAAAGCAGCAGTGTCTACATCTACGCCTCTTCATCTGTGTATTTACTTTTCTCAGTGCATTGAAAGAATGATGTCCCAACGAAGCCTTGATTCCCACTCTAACTGCATTAGAAGTGATATATATATATCATATTAAATGTCATTAAATATATATAATTTATCAGGAGTTTGTATGTCACAACAGATATAGATGAACATAAACAGGTGAAGTCTGACCAATAAAAGGACGGATTTACTCACATGTGACTTGCTTAAATTCTGGTTAAAAGTGTTGCCTTGTGAAAGTGAAGAAAATGCAACATTTTGACAAATAAAGCCCCCGTTTCAGAACAAATCAAATGATCTACAGGTCTGAAAACGCCCTTAAAAACAACACTCATGGCGAGATGCGCACAAGACATTTCTCTGAGAGGGGTTTCTAACAGCTTATTTAAAGATTCGCCACTAAAAACATAAAAAACGAAATACAAACACCACAATTGCTAAAAAAAATATCCTTAAAAAGCAAGAATGTAGATCTCCTCATGTGATCTGAGACAGAATTATCACAATTTGCATGACTGTATTGCGGATGCAACCCTCAGTCTTCATCAAGGTTGCCAGTCAGATGAATGCAGGGACATTTAGTATGATTTAAAAAGCAAAAAGATTTTGTTTTTCTACAGCTGATGAGACACAAACAACTCTGATCATTTTGAGGTTGAAAGAAGATATCTTGAATAATAGTCTTGTATTTCTGTTTCTCTCTATAGGCACATATCCATGACCCTGCCGGCATGTTTCAGGAAAAGCACAACCAGACCAGACTTTGAACACCAGAACTCCAACCTCTATGCCATCTCTGGTACCAGAACCACACAGAACACAGCTGACCCAAACTAAACACCCTCACATCAGTGCAAACTAGAAGAGCTCCAGTCTAGAAATTCACATGCGTTTACAAATTCATTAAATAGAAATAATACGTAGTGGAGTTTACTCTTTCTAATAAAAAAAGTATCGGCTACATGATAGTATATTACAGGTGAAACTCAAAAAATTATATCGCGCAAAAGTTCATTTATTTCAGTAATCCAACTTGAAAGGTGAAACTAATATATTATATAGACTCAGTACATGCAAAGTGAGATATTTCAAGCCTTTATTTGTTAGAATTGATGATCATGTTTCACAGCTTATGAAAACACTAAATTCAAAATTAGAATATTGTGAAAAGGTTTTCATATCTGTAAGCCATAATCATCACAATTATAGCAAATAAAGGCTTGAAATCTCTCACTTTGCATGTACTGAGTCTATATAATATATTAGTTTCACCTTTCAAGTTGAAATACTGAAATAAATGAACTTTTGCATGATATTCTAAGTTTTTAGTTTCACCTGTATATTATATTATATTAGTATCCCATGATTCTGAAGACAACTACACTTGCTGCAGTCTATTTAAAAACATATTTCATTTATTTGAATTAAAAAATGTCACTAGTTTCATAACTGGACAAATACATTTTGTATCATTTGTCGCCACCTACTGGTGTAACAATGTTGATACAATCTTTATTTGAAGCATAAAGTTGCTTTCAAAAGGTGATTTGCTCTATTTTGATTGTTACCGTACACATCAGTGCTTATATCCGAACTATAATCTTTTATCCCACTACTTCTGTGATCATTGGAATTATTGTTATTATTACAAAAATAATGATACTGTGTGGTTGATTTTATATTTACATGACTTTAAATGGCTTTAAACGATATTTAAACGACTAATCGTGCAGCTCTATATTATATTATTAATTTATTAATTTTCACAGCAGTTAAAGTAAATTATGTGGGTTTATTTTGTTAGTATATATATATATATAAATATGATTCCAAGTATCAGAATAACAGAATTTAATCATTAATTGCAATTTATTTGTTTAATAATGATAAAAATGATTTGATTTGGTTAAAAATGATGATTTGGCTACTTTTCATAGCCATTCGAATTTTATTTGCGAGTGATTTATTAACATTTTGCTGATTTTTGTGCTGGACACATTCGAGGTAACTCTTGTTAATTCTGATCTCTTGACTTCTCAGCTATGGATGGAGTGCCTTTCATGATCTCGGAGAAGTTTGCGTGTGCCTCCAGTGATGTGAGTCTGCTTTCATGCTTCATCCGCTCTTCAGCAGTCTGTAGATGTGACTAAACAAAATACTTTCAAAGGATAAAATGCCATTTGGCAGTAGAGAATAATGTGTTATAGGTAACTGGTACAAGAGCTTATCCAGACATTGAGGAGAACTGTGTGTCTGTGTTTCAGTTGCAGCAGGTTGATCTAATGGGCATCAGAATCAAGTCACTCGCAGAGATCGAGAAAGAGGTGAGGGCCTGTTGAGTTTCAACCATGACAATATAGGGTCCTTTTCTCCCCATTTAAAGGGATAGTTCACTTTGAAATTAATTTTTGGTATGTTTCAGCTTACCTCAAAGGCATCCAAGATGGACGCGTCTTTGTTTCCACAGTATTTTCAATTTTGATATTTTTAGGTCAAACCGTTCTTGTCTCAGTCATATAATGGAGGTCTATGGTCACCACCTCAAAGAGCATGCACAGAGAAGTCCAAATTAAACATGATTCAATGACTCGTAAGGCCATCAATGTGTACTTACATTTACGAGTCATTAAATCATAATGTGAAACATATTTAATTTGGACTTCTCAGTGCATGCTCTTTGAGGTGGTGACCATAGACCTCCATTATATGACTGACAGAAAAGAACGGTTTGACCTAAAAATATCAACATTGAAACTACTGCGGAAACAAAGACACATACATCTTGGATGCCCTTATAAGCTAAAACATACCAAAATGTAATTTCAAAATGAACTATCCCTTTAAATGCAAAAAAAAAAATGCTAACAACACTTAAAAATTAAAAACAAGAAAAAAGTATTTAATAAGATTATTTCATTCATTCAGATCTATGATGTATTATTTAAGTGTTCCCTTTATTTTTTTGAGCAGTGTATATATATATATATATATATACAGTGATGTGAATAAGTTTGGACACCCATGCTAAAGTTGCCCAAAAAGAGGATAGAGTCCCATAGAGTCAGGCAGATTTTTATTTTCAAACTTTATCGGGATGCATATTATCCTGGATCCATGAAATAACTGGCCTTTTAAAAATAAAAATCCGCCTGACTCTATGGGAATTTATTTGTCCTGATTTTAAGGAAGAACATTTATTTATCTATGATGCATTATTCATTCACAAAGAAAATTGGTGTCCTTAAAGGCTAGATTTTTCCTCATTTTTCTAATTAAGGCATTAAGATCAATTTCCAAAAGATGATTTTTTTTATTCCTCTTTTTAGGCAACTTTAGCATGGGTGTCCAAACTTATTCACATCACTGTATATGAAAAGGCCTCAACGCACTATAGTTGTGATTATCAAGAAGTAATTCTATTGTTTACAGAATACTGGTTTGTTGAGTTCCTCATTCATTAAGGTTACAATAAATTGATCAAAACTGACACATTTATAATATTGCAGAACATTTCCAATTTCTTTAAAGAATCCTGCAAAAATATTAAGCGGTTTTCAACATTGAGCAGCATATTAGATATATCATTTGATATAATTAGTTTTGAAATGTTGAATTTTAGATGGTTAGAGTTGTGTCTGCAGTACCGATGTGCGAGCCACTAGAGGTCAGTGTTGTGTTTAACTCTTTCTGTTTGTGTGTCAGTATGAATACAGTTTCCGGACGGAGCACAGCGCCGCGGCCCGGCTGCCGCCCAGTCCCACCAGAACGTCCCTGGGCTCGGAGGCCTAAGCGGAGGAAAGACGGAGAGGACTTCTGAACACCTGAGCTGAGACTCACACACCTCTCTGAGATTAAAACACAAACCCATTGGAGAGGATAAAATCAAGAAAAAAACACAAAAAAAAAAATTAAGAAATGTCATTTCATGTGGTCAAGTTCAGTCTCTTAAGTTGATGCTGCTTTTTCTTAAAGAGATGCTCAGTCTTTACAGCGATCGATCAAAACCACTACAGTGTCGTGAAGGGGCCGGATGGGAAACGCCTGTGCTTTTATTATTGGCTTCTTCCGGCGGCTGGACTGAGAAGCTGTTACTCTCGTGACTTTATGAAGGGTCGGACTTGGACGCACCCGTGAGCCCCAAAGTCTTGGATTTGGAAGAGTATTTTATTTTTTTGTATTTCATTCGCTTGCTCGGTTTTATTTAGATCGCAGCGACTGCATGACTCGTGTGTTTGATCCTCAGATCACTGCACTGTTACAGGATTTCGATATGTTTGTGTTTGTGTGGAAAGAGCGATGAGAGAATAGGAACACTCCAGCTCTGAGCGAGCCCTTGTACATAGACAGCCGATGAATCAGGAATGTGCCGTTGTAGAATTGCGTGTTACTCGTTTTCCCCTTTCGTCTTCCCCCGGTCACCACTGATGCAGTTTTACTGAGATTTGACTCTTTTTCAGTCTGTAATAGTGTTCGACGGTGCTCAAGCACTTGGATATTGTTTCTGCCGGTCCATTTTGTGGCTTCTGAAGTTTGTGGTGACATTTTGTTTTTTTAAGTGTAATAAACCAGTGAATATTTTTTGCTCAAGTTATATTTCACCCCGAGATCTAAAGAAAAAACAATAGAAATTCAATTTTGCATAAGTTGAAAATGTGAAACTCATTTTCCACTCAATTTCATTCCTGAAAAATCATTTTAAGTAGTTTAAATTCTGTAAAACGAGGTAGGCTGACGATTTGACAGTGTTTTTCATATCACATTAATGATTTTGATAATCTCATTCTTCTTTATGCAAAATACAGTTTCTCGTTTCTTTCTTTTGATTTTCAGGGTGACCTGAGGAATTCTTGACCGTTTTATGGGAGATTGACCTGAGCAAATTTGTTAGTAAAGCGTTCAGCAGCTCGCACAAAGTCGGCCACTGCTGCTGTGTTTGATACGGTGACGATTATGCGTGAAAGAACAGTGTTATTATTTCTGAAAGCGCAATCTCAGGTGAAAGTGTTGACACCACGTGTCTGCGTCCGGTCAGATGGTTTGACACCTTCACTGTGAGACTTTAATCTAACACTCAGATGGGTTTCTATTTCTCACGTTGTGGGTAATAATGTTTAAGCAGCTATATTGTTACATGTTCTAACCACTATTGTGACTTTTATTATGTATGATTTCAAATCTGAAATTAACCACAAATCTGACCTGACCTTCTCTTTTTATTGTTTCTCGCTGTGGAAGTCGATAGCTTGAGACCTTCAATCCTGGTTTTCTAGGCGTCTGTCAAGCCTGTTTTTAAATCTGTCTGGAAGCTGGTTTCCGCCCTAGAATGAAAAATATATTAAAAAAATATATCTCACAATTCGGACTTTTTTCTCACAATTGCGAGTTTACTTCTCGCAATTCTGACTTTATTTCTCAGAATTGCTAGATATAAAGTCAGAATTGCGAGATATAAAGTCAGAATTGCGAGATATAAAGTCAGAATTGTGAGATTTAAAGTCAGAATTGCGAGATATAAAGTCAGAATTGCGAGATATAAAGTCAGAATTGCGAGATATAAAGTCAGAATTACGTGATATAAAGTTGCAATTTCGTGTTATAAAGTCTGAATTGCGAGATATAAAGTCAGAATTGCGTGACAAAGTCAGAATTACGTGATATAAAGTCTCAATTTCGTGTTATAAAGTCTGAATTGCGAGATATAAAGTCAGAATTGTGAGATATAAAGTCAGAATTGTGAGATATAAAGTCAGAATTGCGAGATATAAAGTCAGAATTGCGTGACAAAGTCAGAATTACGTGATATAAAGTCGCAATTTCGTGTTATAAAGTCTGAATTGCGAGATATAAAGTCAGAATTGCGAGATTTGAACTATTCTGAGGGGGAAAGTTACTATTTTTTTCCCTTAGAATTGGGGGAAAGGGGGAAAAAAGTCGCAATTGCGAGTTTATATTTCACAATTCTGAGAAAATATGTCAGAATTTCGACATATAAACTCGCAATAATGTGTTATGAAGTCAGAATTGCGAGATGTAAACTTGCAATTGTGAGAAAAAAGTCAGAATTGTGAGATAAAAAGTCACACTTCTGTCTTTTTTCTCAGAATTGCGACTTTACAGTATATCTCGCAATTTTGACTTTATATTTTGCAATTCTGACTTTATATCTCGCAATTCTGACTTTATATTTTGCAATTCTGACTTTAAATCTCGCAATTCTGACTTTAAATCTCGCAATTCTGACTTTATATTTCGCAATTCTGACTTTAAATCTCGCAATTCTGACTTTATATCTCGCAATTCTGACTTTATATTTCGCAATTCTGACTTTAAATCTCGCAATTCTGACTTTAAATCTCGCAATTCTGACTTTATATCACGCAATTCTGACTTTATATCACGCAATTCTGACTTTATATCTCGCAATTCTGACTTTATATTTTGCAATTCTGACTTTATATTTCGCAATTCTGAATTTATATCTTGCAATTCTGACTTTATATTTCGCAATTCTGACTTTAAATCTCGCAATTCTGACTTTATATCATGCAATTCTGATTTTCATCACGCAATTGTGAGATAAAAAGTCTATAATAAAAAAATATTTTTTCTTTTTTTTTTATTCAGTGGTGGAAACAAGCTTCCATAAATCTGTCTGGAAAACTCTCATGTTTATATCTAAATAAAATCAGAACCAAAATCATAGTTTAACAACATCGCCATCTGAATTCCACGCTGATTTCTTCAGTCAATTCAGGCATTTGTTTAACAAAAAAATAAGGCCCTATATGAATGCATGCAGCGTTATCTATTTTTTCAACATTAAAAATGAGGATTTAATTAGCTATTTCATAGTACTCTTTGATTTAATTATTTAATGATTTTATATGAAGACTAATTTAAATGTTTAGGAATGTAGCTAGTATGTTGCCCCTGGTTATTTTTTTTTATTATTTTAAATTTTTTTTTTTTGGGAATAGTTGAGTGTGTTTTGCAAGTTTGGTCATGCAAACAAATACAATAAAAGATGTTGAGTTTCTGCACTGCGTAAATAAACTCCTGTTCACCATTTTATAAACCATATCATCATATCATTGTTTTGCCTCTAGATGAACCTGCCGTGTGTGTTTGTCATATGCGTCGTCTTTATTATAAAAATGTGAAAGCTGGTGTTGACTGCTGGTTGAATTTTGTGCTTTATTACTCCATAAAAATACCGTAAACTCTTAATGCATTTCTTATCAACACAGAAACAGAAAGATTGAAAGCTCTTCGGTTAGTGAGTACTGCAATGAGTTTGACTGCATGTGATGCTTACTTTTAGATATTTGTGCACAGTGGCACATCTTACCCCTATGTGTGCAGATGAGATGGTACTTGTTTACTGGAACGTTGCCTCTGTTTTGGGTTCACAAACGCTCCGAGCTTCCTGTGGCCGTTTGACAAGTCACTTTATGTAGATCCAAAACCACAGGGAAACTTTCAAGACTTCAAGCATAAAAACGCTGCAGGTTTCGGGGGAATGTGCTGCTGTTGGTACGGCTTTTTAACGAGATTTTAAGAGAATGAAGAGCCGAACAAGAAACGGCAAAGCACGTTTATAGACAGTGATTGAGCATTTAAGAAACCACACAAAGGTTATTTCATTTTCTCTCTTAATCGTGACATCTTGGTTCTGGTAAATCCTTCACTTTTACTGTAGTTCAGTGTGCATGCATCTCTTTTGCAGAAGTATTTACTGCTTAATTTCTTCCGTTTTAATGAGGTTGCGGTTTTGAATCCAGAAACGGCTCGGCTTGTTTGTTTTTGGGTTTCTACCACTTGACAATATCATGTACTGTGTCCTACAAAGATCTGATTAACATTCTAGTAGGAACCATGGCCAGGACTTCACTCTTAGAAGAAATGGTTCTATTTAGAACCAGAAATGGTTCCATCCCCCGCTTCATATATGGAACTCCAAAATGGTTCTATATAGAACCATTTTTTTTTTTTGGTAAAAGGTTCTATTGGCCAAGTATGGAACCCCAGGGTTCTATATAGAACCCAGAAGAACCCTTTTTTTAAGTGTATAGAACCTTTTAGGGGTTCCAAATACGTAGCGCTGATAGAACCTTTTAAGGTTCTATATAGAACCTTTTCTTCTAAGATTGTAGACTCTTGAGAGCTGGATTCAGATCCAGGTCAGTCTGAAAAGCAACTGAAATGGAGTTTATGCCAAATTTGTTGCAGCATTCATTTTAGAAACTTCATTCAGAGCCATGGGATTCTGGAAGATTCTCCAACAACCAGTGGTTCAGGTCATTTATCACTTGCACAGAAATTGAACACCATCTTGAAAGACACTTTTAGGTGAGATCCAGGTAAATGACCGCCACAGCAAGGCATAAAGCACAAGCATGTGAATAAAATTTCTGAGCTTTAGTGGGGGTAAGATTATCAGTGAAAAATTACTTGAACTTGGGACTGTTTCAATATTTTTATGGAATATAATGCACACGCCTTAAAGGGAGAGACTTTTGTTCATCTTCGGAACACAAATGAAGGTCTTTTCGATAAAAATCTGAGAGCTTTCTGTCCCTCCATAGTTGCGTAACTGTCACTGGAGGACAGAAAGCTCAGAGTTCATCAAAAATATCTTCATCTGTTAACTAATGTATTGCCTCTGAACACTTCTGATGTCTAGTTCTGCCGTCATGGAAAGAAAGTTGGGCTTCCTACCAGACGTTTACAGCGCACCTCAAAGACCTCCCAGTCGAAATCAGCCTCTGAAGCTTGTGTCATTTCTACTTTGATAGTCTTTTGAAGGTTGTTTTTCCATTAGCTTCAGAGGAACCTTTTCCACAGGACAATAAAACAAGTTCATAATGAAGCCAAACCATGAAAAAAGTCATTAAAGCAAAACCTCCCAGCAAAGAGATCTGATCAAATGTTATCTGACCTTTATTGGACTTTATAACTTCCAGAGTGACAAAAATGACAAAATTTTTTTTTTTTTTTTTAAAGGTTACATTGATTTCAAAGATACGTTTATGACCGGTTTCACAGACAAGGTTTAAGCTAGTCCCAGACTAAAATGTATGTTTGAGCTGTTTTAACAACACAACTTGCACTGATATATCTTAAAATATGTCAGTGCCATTGTTTTATATAAAGATTCACACCAGTAATGTTTTTGTCCTATGGTACAATTATAAAAGCTATACTTAAACGTCCTTATTGAACTAAAGCGTAATCCTGGCTTAATCTAAACCCTGTCTGTAAAACCAGGTCATAATAATATGTTATTCAATATGCACTACTTGCCTAAAAATAATAATGAAAGTTAGACTTTTAAAATAGAATAAATTATATTATTCTGATAGTAAAAAAAAAAACCGAGGTAAAAAAAAATGGTTAAGCTTCTACACATTTCCTAAAGTGTGTGAAACAGTACACATTTAAGAGCAATCCCAGGACGTTAGTTTTTGGTTCCCAGTACGTTCTTTGAACTTTCTCTTAAGGTTAGGGGAACGTTCCCGGAACGTTCTCCTTACGTTATAAAAATGGAACCTAAAATAACCTACATGGAACGTTCCTATAGCGTTTTTGTTTGGTTCCCAAAATAAATAACCTCATGGGACCATTCTGAGAACGTTCCCCTTCTGCGTTTGCTGGGATATTGCATTCATTGAGCAAGTGCCGTCAATCATCGTTTTAATCTAATTTTGTATTTGTGCGTATAGGTCTGTCAAAGTGCATCTGCATGTGGATTAGCATAAAAACACACTCTTAGAAGAAATGGTTCTATTTAGAACCAGAAATGGTTCCATCCCCGCTTCATATATGGAACACCAAAATGGCTCGATATAGAACCTTTTTTTTTTTTTTGTAAAAGGTTCTATTGGCAAAGTATGGAACCCCAGGGTTCTATATAGAACCCAGAGGAACCCTTTTTTTAAGAGTATATAGAACCTTTTAGGGGTTCCAAATATGTAGCGCTGATAGAACCTTTTAAGGTTCTATATAGAGTGCATTTAATATTTAATTTTTCCTATAGGCTGGGGATCACTTTTGGTCCCTACTGTGTGTAGATTATATTTTAATTCTCCTTCTGTTTTGCATCATTTTGACACATGTCGAACACAAATTTGTTGTCGCCGTAGAAGGTTTCGTCTGAATTAGCCGCGGATCCTGTTGCCTTACGGAACCTATTAAATACGACCACAATAAACGGTTTAACAGCTCGGTTTGCTTTCCCCGCTTGTTAAATGCATTTACATGCGATATTTTCCATTTGGAAGAAACCCTGCGTCACATAAATGGAGATTACGAATTAACTTTTAATATTGTAAATGTCATTTGATCAGCGCTTTGATGAGACATGCTTCTCTTTCAGGAGGGATTTAATGAAGCTCATGGGACGTTTTCCTGAATTAACATCTATACTAAACATCCACAAATTAATACTCAGTCAGTGTCCACCAGTTTCTGTCGGCAGAAGTTGCTGTAATCTGCCCGTCGAGAAGGTCTTGATTCTTGTTTGATTTGATGTTTGCACCTTCAGGTTTTTAGTTGTGACTTTTGCACAGGCAAGCGCTAACATTTTCTTCAGAAATCGATTGCATAATTTGCAATGCATGTAGTAATGCTCTGGTTGATTTACCCCGTTTCGCTTCATTGACAAGTTTGAGCTGTTTTAACTAAAATCAACTTATTATTTTTTTTTTATCATTATTAACTGTAATATCTTAAAATATAGCCTATCATTGTTTTGTCTCAAGATGAAGACCAGTTACAGTAGCGGGACATTTATAAAAGCTTCTTAAATATAGGCCTACTAATTGAACTAAGTCCTATAGTCTGGCTTAGCCTATTCTAAACTCTGTTTGTGAAACCAGGCCTTGGAGTTTGAACGTGGTACAGATTTTTTTCCTGGATAAATTAGTTGTTGTTTTTTTAGCATAAATCACACTAAATGCGTCTCTATAGCACGCAGTGTGTTTATCGTGCAATTTATAGCCTGAAAAAAAAATTTTTTTTTTAACTCATTTTCGCGTATAAACTGCACGATAAAACACAATGCGTGCTATAGACGCATTTACGTGAGAACATTACTTGTGTGATACCAAAGTGTGTTGCCAGGTTGATAAATGGTGCTATTGAGTTTAATAAACGGCTATTTTGAAGAGGATTTGCTCACAATTAACTTCATTCTTATCAGTGTCGCTGATATCAAATGGCACTATTTGTTTTATGGCACTATTTTCTTCCCTCCAGTTATCCAGCCCTGGTTTAAATGACTTGAATAAGAAGAAAAAAATGATCCCAAGAGTTTTATTTTATTATTATTCTTTGTAAAATACAATGTAATTCGATATTTTCATTGTGTAGTGAGTGATAGAGACAGAAGGCAGAGGTTGTGGTCAGGAAGATTAACACTAGAGAGCGCAAGAACACAATATGAACACAAGCGTTCAGCGTTATTAATGACATATAGCCTGTTATAGCCTATACTTTTAGAAACTAGGAGTCTAGTAATAATAACATGACTATGAATTATTTCCTTTGCAAGTTGTAGTTTCATGTTTATATTAAAGTTTAAAAACATATGTTTGTGTGATTAGCTTATAATTGCTGGGGTTTTAGAGTTAAAATACTTGAAAATGTTTTAAGGATAACATGGCAAAGGATTAGAAATGACATGATTAGAGTTTGTTGGGTTTTGTGCCTGTTTAACCCTGTGTTTATATGGCTTGAAGTCCATTCATAGAAGTTCAAAGAAAAGGGTGGGTGATTTCAGTTGGCTATAATGTATAAAATATATAAAAAGTAGGCTATAGCTAGGCCTAAGTACACTCTAAAAAATGCTGGGTTGTTTTAACCCAACTTTGGGTCAAATATGGACTAACCCAGCCGTTGGGTTAAATTTTTACATTACATTTTTAACCCAACATTTCGGGTTTGTCCATATTTGACCCAAAATTGGGTTAAAACAACCCAGCATTTTTTAGAGTGTATGTGCGTTTTTGTTTTTAAAGTAGATCAATATTCATAAAACAAAGATAGCCTACAAGTAGGCCTAAAGTACCGGATGCGCGATATTAAAACTGACCGAATTCTTTTTAGAACGTTAAGAAATTCTAGAGGGAAAAATCTCCCGCTTGAAAGTCGCTGAATAATTCGAATTCTAAGAGGAAGAAGAAAACCTCTCCCTGATGTTTGTTCACAATATTTGTTCCCACTCGCCTATACACGCCTGTTCTACAGACACCAAAAGGCCTGAATTAGTGTTACATATAAGCTAGGCTATTGCTAATTATTAATAGGTTAAAATAGTGATAGCTGAATAAAAATAATGCAGTGTGTTTGTTTGCCCTTTAATTAGGCTAATGCTATTTGCATGAAAATTAATATTATTAATACAAAATAGCATGTCGCGAAAAAATAATCATCTTTATTTGTTAGTTTATGTTTTACTAATCTTTATTTTATATAAAACGCAACATAAAAATAAGATAACCTAAACACACACATACGATATACGTCAGGTGTGTTTAGGCTATATTTTGGTGTGAGGCATTTACCAAATAAATCCCTCTTCTGATCCATCCATCATTTTTACTGGGAAAGATAAAAACTGTAAAAAGATGAGAAAGTCGTATTTATTTCACGGAGAGAGCGTAAATCAGCCTGTCATAATTAGAAGAGAGATGAATACTAATGAGGAAAGTAATAAAGATACAAACTCCCCCTTTCTTTTCCTCTCCTCGCAGGTTTATTGCCCTGAGATGTCTGTCTGTGAAATGAATTTGCGCAGATCTGAAACACAAAAGATTCTCCTTATGAATTTTGCATGGATATTATGCGGAGAGAGATTAAATCAGCTTTTATCTGGGTCTTTATTAATCATGCAGATAATGTCATGAAGATGAAAGCAGCTGCGCGAGGAATCAAATGATTCGGATTCTGAATATATCGGCTCGATTTCACGCCTGTGTTGAATGTGTTTTGAGTGAGAAATTGTTTATGACAAAAGCAATTAAATAATATGTAACGAGTTAAAGTTACCTATATTCTATAAACAGTTAGAGTTATTTTTAATTATAGCCTAGTCATATTTTATATAGAAAGCCATTTTCGTCATTTATTTATATCATTATGAACGCGAAATAAAATAGAAATAAAACGTTAATGGCTTTGGGACTTAATTTACGCCCCAATTACATGCTGTTTGTTTTGTATATATACAGTGTTGGGGATATTCAAATATATTTTTGACTTGAATAATTCAGATGTTCATGTGCAATCTAATATTTATTTATAAAGACATGCTAATTATGTATTCAATCTATTTGTAATTGGCCTCAGCAGCACATGATTGTGTGTGTGTGTGTGCGTGTGTGTGTGTGTTGTAGGCGGTTCCGCTGTGACCCAACAGCACCAATAGCATCACACGGAGTTGAGGAGAATGACGCGCGCGGACTCCTCAAGAGGAGCAGGGCTCGTGAACGCGATCAGTGTGAGAAGAGCTCGCGCCGGTCCCGGTCATAGCTCACGCGCGCGCGGCCCCTGGATTACCGGAGGATCTGACGGTTTCATTCTGTTTCTCGCCGAACAACCGAAGAAACAGGCGTCGCCTACTCTACACGTATAACAAAGAAAAGGCAGTTTACTTTTAGTTTCTATCTCGTCACGGTCCGTGTGCAGCAGAAGCCTGGATCTGCTTCTTCACTTGTTCTGGACTTCGCAACAGGTCCGAGATCAGCTGATTCGAGATGCTGGACGGAATCAAGATTGAAGATCAGTTCAGGACTGGAGCCGAGTCTCTGGCACTGATGCTCGGTGAGTTTCTCACAGAAACGACTAACAACACTTTACTTTACATCGAAGTGCCACAGTTGTTCCAGAGAGACGTCTGAACTAAAATAAATATATTGGTGATACTTTACATTAAGGTCTCATTGGTTAGCATTATGAACTATTTTAGCACACTGATATTTGTTAACTTTTTTAGGCTAATTGTTCATGTTAGTTCATTAACTGGCATGTTATGTAGCCTAATGTTGACAAACACAACTTTGGATATAAAAATGTTGTAAAAATGAAAAAAATATCATGACACTCTAAAAATGCTGTGTTGTTTCAACTGTCAAACATTGAAAAATCCAACCGTTGGTTTAAATTTTTAAATTGCATTTTTTTTAACCCAACCGTTGGTTTAAATTTTTAAATTGTATTTTTCAACCGAACCTTTGGTTTAATTTTTTTAATTGTATATTTTCAACCCAACCGTTAGTTTAATTTCAATAATTACATTTTTTTAATTACAACGGTCGGGTTTGTGTATATTTGACCGTTGAAACAATATTTTTAGACTAGAGTAAAATTAATAAATGCTGTACAAATATTGTTTATTGTTAATTTTAACTAGGATATATTAAGAAATGAAGCCACATTTTAAAGTGTTACCAAAACATTAAATATGACACCAATTAGGCAACATTTGTGTGCACCATTTCTCGTTTTTACAGCGCTTTAAAAACGATAGACATAGCTACCTATGTTTGCATAATTAACTAGTATAACAACGACGAGCTGTAATAAAAAGGAGCTTGTTAAAATAATTAAATATTACATGTTCGTCATAGAAGTATAGGCTACTATATTGCAAATGGCTACTAATGTAAAATGTATTTAGCCCTTTAATCAGCTTGTTTTTGATATTGCCCCTAAAACAACTGCTTTTATATCAACTGGAGACATGGATCATGGTCATGATCATTTTTGTAAACAAAAAACAAACAGTTGTATTAAATGATAGTGCAGAAAATATAGGCTAATACAAATGTTTAGGTTAATGTTGCAACGACAGTCAGTCAGAATTACCAGTTTAAGTGTTTTGTCAGATAGGCTAACATCGAAATTAACTGGTTCTATTTTTTTTACATTCTGTAAACATCGGCCAATTTGGCATAGGCCTAAAATATTTTAATATGCTTATTTATTGATTTTTTGAATAGTTTACAATTCCGTAGCCCGGCTATTAAATTAAATTTCTGTATAACCTGATTATTAGTTTACCCCAACTAAAGTTGGCCTACTTTTTAACGATTTCGAACGGCACTATTTAGGATCGAGATGTTATTATGGAAACAATATGTTTTAGTGTAGGATAGGATACTTCAGAACGCAAGTTCCTAATGTGGCATTTGTGAGTGTGTGTGATGTATATTGCTGTTGCGTTGCAGGTTCAGATTGCGCGCATCCGAGTGTGTGTGAAGGATGTCACAGACCCATCTCTGACCGCTTCCTCCTGCGCGTGAACGACTGCTCGTGGCACGAGGAGTGTGTGCAGTGCTCGGTGTGTCAGCAGCCTCTCACCATGAGCTGCTACTCCAGAGACCAGAAACTCTACTGCAAACACGACTACCAACAGTAAGAGCTCGTTCATTCATCCCACGGCATGTAGAGCTGGTGTCTAGTTCTGGCGCGCGATGTTTTGGAGCGTCGCGATATTAGTTCGCGCGCGCCCGCGTGTGTGGGAAATATTTAGAAGCGATTATTTTTTTAATCAAACATTGTCTTTCACATGGTTTTTAAGGATAGGTTCTATCATAAATGATTTATATTTCGATATTATCGATATTATCAATTTAATTGTTTTTAGCAAATAACGACAACGGCATATGCCTAATTGTTATTATTAGGGCCTATTATATCTGTGCGATATTGTAAAAGCAAATAGGCTAGAAAATAGATGCATAGGCTAATTTGAACGTTAAAACACTTTGAAGAAATAAATTGAACTAATTTGGCCACGATAATTATAATAGCCTACAATGAACTCGAATATTCTGGGTAGCCTAATATGTATAATAATCTTGTTTTTATTGCCGTTGATGTGTCCACTCATAAATCACAGAGCTTGTCGTACAGTGAATTCTGTTTATACTAGTCTGCTGTTCATGATTGTCAAGAGTTTTTTTTCTTTTGTCCAATTACTCTTTAAACAACTTTTCTTCAATCATCGCGATATTGTCGCGTTCAGTCTGACGTCACGCGTCTCGTTCAATTTTTACAGCAGTTTTTAAAAAAATAATTCTGTCTTCATGGTTTTATTAAATGTGGTTTAATAGTTAAAGTTTTTAACATTGAGGCCTATTTATTATTGCTTTTGAATTATATAAGCGTCTGATGGTTTTTAATAGCCTATACGTTAGTGTCTTTTAAATTCTTTTTAATAGTGTCAAATACATGATAGATAGATTCACTGACAAAGTTTGTAACACAATTGGAGAATTATATGTATTTATGTCTTTCTCTTATTAGGCTAAATTACACACTTTGAATTTTATAGCACAAACTTTATATTTATGCTGCAGTCAACAAACTATGTAGTGTGAATTGACTTTAATTGCATGTTATTTGTCTCTTTCAAAGTAGTATTTATAAAGCAGTGATGAGGTACTTAGTGCTCTTAATTCACACCCGGCCCGGCACTGCTTTTTATGGCTCTCTTTTTAAGAGAGATTAACAAGCAAAGCCACACAACACACTCACACACCTCCATGTTTAACTCGCTCTAATTGACAGACACGCTTGTAATGAGTCGAACAGTAAATCTCAAATAAAGAGATGTCTCTGGATTAACTCATTCAGTCTGCTGTGAATAATAATAAATCACATTATGTTGTCGCGTTAAGTGATAAAACATTAGTATTAGCTCTCTTCGTGGTTGTCAAATGTTAGCTGGACGTTCATATTGTTCATATTCCTCTTTTTGAGGGTATAGACAGTGATGTAATGATTTTCAAATGAGGAAACATCACTACACATATGCATGGTGGTGTGTTGTAAAAGTCGGAGGGTACATTTTCTAGTTATGTAATTGGGAGAGATTGTGGATTTTCTGCTATTTCTGGTTGAATTTGTCTATCTCGTCAAGCATTTAAATGTGATCGCAGGAATGTGTGGTTTCGTGTTGATTTCACACTTGGCTCACGACATGATAAGACATGCTCAAACTTATCATTTAAAAGCATATTTTGTGTTTATAATATACCGATTCTGATGTACTGCTTATTCTATTGAAGCTTCTTTTCAGGAAAGCATGCAAATCCAGTATATTTAAGGACAATATGCTCTTTTAGCCCCAACATTTATTATAATTTCTGTACTTTTGATTCGTTTGTGGGTTTTTGGCATGTTGCTATTGTACTGCATACATATAAATGTTGAAATATTGGTGTGTATACAAATATATAGCCTATATATTGTGTGTGTGTTTATCCTGTGGCTATCTAAAATATCCTGATTGATAAAAATATTATATAATGTAGAATATAACATAATCTTAGGGCTGTCAAACGATTTGTCGCGATTAATCGCATCCAAAATAAAAGTTTGTGTTTACATAATACATGTGGTATATAAAATATATAATATATAAATATACACACATGCATGTATATTTAAGAAAAAATATTATTTATAATATATATATATATATATATATATATATATATATATATATATATAATTTATATATAAAATATTTATATATAATATGAATTATATATAAATCTATACAGTATATACATGAAAATATTTCTTAAACATATATGTTTATATATATATATATATATATATAAAATAATTATACACACTACACACATATATTATAGAAACACAAACTTTTATTTTGGATGCGATTAATTGCGATTATATATATATATGTATAGTTATATGAATTTGATTGGACAATATGGTGATATGGTGATAGTATGCTTCATTTCAATTTATTATAATTTCTATACATTTGGTTTCTTTGTGGGTTTGTTGCATGTTTTCTGTAAAACGTTTTATTGATATTGAGATTGCGCTATTCTGCTTGCACAATTTGGTTTTTACTAGAAATGCTCAAAAGAGCAAGTTGTCCATAAAGTCTGACATGGCAGAACCCCAAACCCAAAAAGGCCATAAACCGTGTTATAGACGTCTGTATACGAGAGAGAAAATATCTGCCACTTTACAGCCACTGCTGGACCTTTAGGAAACATAGACACAAACACAAGGTTTTATTTCATAACCTCTTTAATGGCTTTGACTTCATGCTCCGTGTTTTGGGTCGGGTCTGAGAGACAGAGAGCAGGAATTTCTGAGATCCTGAACCCTGATCTTCATAACGCAACTCTCTCCTCTTTCTATGTTTGGATTCTGATGCGCAGAGAAATATCTCTGATTACTGAAACAACAAACATGCTGATTAGCCCTTCAGAAATGATGTGGGAATGAGACGTTAGCCTGTTCCGTCATTGGCCCCTAAAACTATTCGTTCACTTGAGTCACAATTTAAAAACTTAAGTATCAAATTCATGTTGCACCAGCATTTAACTTTAATAAGCTGCGTGGCAGTGTTTTATTTTAAGTGGATAGATGTAGGGTTCAGGAACCTGTTGACATTTAGTTTTTTATTGTGATGATGACGTTCTTTAATCGTGTCTTAAAGGAGTAGTTCACTTTAAAAAAAAAAACTTTTGCTGATAATTTCCTCACCCCCATGTCATCCAAGATGTCCATGTCTTTCTTTCTTCAGTCAAAAAGAAATGAAGGTTTTTGATGAAAACATTCCAGGATTTTTCTCCATATAATGGACTTCAATGGGAACCAAACGGTTCAAGGTCCAAAAGACCGTTTCAGTGCAAACTGCAAACTGTTCAAAGGGCTTTAAACGACACCGAACAGAGCAAGGTGAGCATTTGAGCTTATAAAACTTAAACTTTGTTATTTATTTATTAAACGAGTGATCGTTTCGCTTGATAAGACCCTTATTCATCATCTGGAATCATTTAAAGCCCTTTGAACAGTGAAACTCTCATTTGGACCTTGAACCGTTTGGTCCCCATTGAAGTCCATTATATGGAGAAAAATCCTGGAATGTTTTCATCAAAAACCTTAATTTCTTTTCGACTGAAGAAAGAAAGACATGGACATCTTGGATGACATGGGGGTGAGTAAATTATCAATAAAACTACTCTTTTAAGTGTCCAGAGGGTTGGATTTCAGTGTTTAAAACATGACATAATTTGTAGAAATATTAATGCATGCAATTAAAATGATGTCGTACAGGATATTTTATATGTTCAAAATCTTGACAAATATTGACATGATGCCAGCTTTAAATTTTGGAGAAAACACAATGCTATTTTGCACATTCAATTCAGAAGGTGTAAAAAATAATATAGACAATTGTCATAATTGTGTTAATGAAACAATATAGACCAGATAAATACTGTATTTTAATATGATCTGTTTTATCTTTGATTATACAAACGGTTGTAGAAGCATTTTATGGATTTAGTAAATATATATATGACTTGATGCAGGGTAATTAGGATCAATATGAATAAAATAATGTCATGTTTTTAGGATTGTGCTTTTCTATCACATATGCCTTATTCTTTATCGAGGATCAGGTCATTTGGGGAGAGTAGAGGCTAATGCACTGAAGATGTTTCGGGAGCAGATGAACAGGTAAACCTGTTGAGGAACAGTAACTAAACAAAGCCTGATTCTGCAGTTTAACGGGGTAATAGATGCGTCTGACTCTGAGCTGAGGGTGTGTTTGCCCCTCTGGCTCTTCGCGTGTGTGTGAGATCGTTCACTCTGCACACTGTGGCCTCCTTTGAGAGAGAGTGTGAAATACACACACACACACACACACAGTTGGGTTTCCATGTTTCATGAGGACTTTCCATGATACACTCTTAGAAGAAATGGTTCTATTTAGAACCAGAAATGGTTCCATCCCCCGCTTCATATATGGAACTCCAAAATGGTTCTATATAGAACCATTTTTTTGGTAAAAGTTTCTATTGGCCAAGTATGGAACCCCAGTGTTCTATATAGAACCCAGAGGAACCCTTTTTTAAGAGTGTATAGAACCTTTTAGGGGTTCCAAATATGTAGCACTGATAGAACCTTGTAAGGTTCTATATAGAACCTTTTCTTCTAAGAGTGTAGACGATAATGATTTCTATACTGTACAGACTGTATATTCTGTCCTAACCCTATACTAAACACTTCCTGTATTTTACATTTTCAAAAAACATCACTTAGATTTATATGATGTTAAGACACACACACACACACACACACACTTCTTTCTTTCTTTCTTTCTTTCTTTCTTTCTTTCTTTCTTTCTTGTTAGGTTGACAGTATTTTTTACATTTACGTACAAATTCATCGATTTATTAATTTATACATGAATTGTCCCCTTAGGTTGAATGTGAGTCTTTGATTATTGCTGTTAGATTTGTATTTTTCATATGGCTCTATAACATTGTGATTTCCATATTTTCGCAGTATGTTGGCTGATGTTTGTGGTCTGTCAGTGCTAGTGCCGGTTGTAGACTGATGTGCATTTAGAGCCAGAT